CAGTCTCTGCTGAAAGACCTCCGATGAGGGAAAAGCCACTACCCCCTAAGGCAGCACTTTCCGCTTTTGGAGAGTGATAATTTTTTGGAAGTTTTTCCTTACATCAAGCCTACATTCACCTCTTTGCAATTTCCATCTCACAGCTCCTAGTTTTACCCTTCCAGGATAAACACAACTCTAATCCCTCTTCCTGATCACAGCCCTTCAGATACTTAAAGAGAGCTATTATGTTCCCACATCCCAACTCTTCTCTTCTTCAAGGTACAGAATCCCCACTTGTTTTAACTGATTCTTGTGCAGCATGGACTCAAGGCCTTTCCCTCTACCAATTGTCCTTCTCTGGTTGCTCTCCATTTTACCAACATCTATTCTAAAATGCGATTCCCAGAACTGAATTCAATATTCCAGATGTAGTCTAAGTAGGACACAGTTCCACTACCTTCTAATTCCTGGAAGCCAGGCCTGTTCTCATGAACCCAAGACTGAATTAGCTTTTTTGAACGCTTATATTATTGTTAGGTCCTACTGAGCTTAAAACCCCAAGATTTTTTCCCGACAAACATTAGTCTTGATCTTGCTAAGAAACAACTGGTGCTTTGCCATCTTAAAAAACAAGGAAAAACAACAAAACCCTTATTTAAAACAAAACAAAACAAAATCAACATATTGCGAGTTAAATAAAACAGATGAAATGGAAAACTTCCAAGAATGTTAGAATATGTTTATAGAGATATTGTTAGAAAGTTCCTATTATGCCAAAAATAAGAGAGAGAAATGTTTATGTAATTGTCTCACTATGTTCTGTACTGATGCAAACATTAGTCAAATAATTTGCATGCATATCTCCATTATAAGCAAGGTAAAGTGAATTAAGAGGTCACTAGTACTTTATTGCATGCCCAGAGCTCCTATTTATTTTGGTCAAACTATGAAATAGGTTCCTTATGTTAATATTACCAATAGTTTAAGACCCACAAAGCTCTTATCTATAGTTATATAGTGAGTATTGCCAGGGCAGGGGAGGGGGAGGGGATAGGTTCTTAGAGATTTCATTTCTAATCTGTAGGAATGGATTTTTTTTTTGGAAGTGCCATTTGATCAGTGAGAGTGATGCGGTTTAGAGGTTCAGGGGTGCTTGGACCCCAAAATCACAACACACCGGTCCTGTCCAAAAGAATTCGACCCAAGCTTTCTTTTAGCCGAAAACAAGGTTTATTAGAACAGCAATCATATTGGGCAGACTCTTAAGGAGTCTGAACATTAGTAAGCTATTGGCTAGATTTTAAGAATCCCAGCATCTTAATGGAGACAAGATGGACCTTATATACAGAAAACCTGTGGGAGGGATCTAAGAGTGGCCAAGTAGTTTGGGTAACTTCTGGGACCTAGGCAATGGAGCCTAGCTAAAATTAAGTGTGGGAAATGGCCAGGGGCCATAGGGAGGTAAGACAATGGAGGGGAGATTGGGTGTAGCCACAATGAAAGGCCAGTTGATGGGATTACAGTCTCAGGCAAATGCCAGAGATTTGGCCACTTGGGAAAGTCCAGGGTTTTTCCTTTTTGGGATCTAGATCCCATCCTCATCAGAGGATAGAGAAGCAAACTCTCCCTCTAGATTCAGTAATCTCAGAAAGTTGACATGGTTGCACTGAGAGATTAAATGCCTTCCCACGATCACACGGCTTAGCAACCATTATGGGCAGAAATTGAGCCCATAGACGTGATGAGGATGGGATCTAGACCCCAAAAAGGAAAAACCCTGGACTTTCCCACATGACCAAATCTCGGGCATTTCGCCTGAGGCTATAATTCCATCAACTGGCCTTTCATTGTGGCTACACCCAATCTCCCAGTTCTCTGTTACCCTTAACCTAGCCTAGTTCTCCATTGTTTTACCTCCCTATGATCCCACACCACTTCCCAGCCTTAATCCCATCTAGGCTCCATTCTCCCTGGGCTACTTGGTCCAGGTCCCTGGCATTCTGTTACCTCATAGACTACTTGGCCACTCCTAGATCCCTCCCACAGTATTTCTGTATATAAGGTCAATCTTGTCTTCATTAAGATACTTAGATTCTTAAAATCTAGTCAATAGTAGCTCATTAATGTTCAGACTCCTTAAGAGTCTGCCCAATATGACGGATGTTCTAATAAACCTTGTCTTTGGCTGAAAGAAGGTTTGGGTGGAATTCTTTCAGACAGGACCTGTGTGTTGTGATTTTGGGGTGCCAGCACCTGTAAACCTCTAAACCTCAACAGAAGCAGCATGTCATAGTAGTGAGAAGTCCAGCCTTAGAGTCAGGAGGAGTTGGGTTCAAGTAGATGTCTTTATAAATATTAAAGAATATTTAGAATAATAAAAGGCAGAGAAGCAGTGTGGCATAGGAGATAGAGCCAGATGGTAATCTACTTGACTGCCTCTTAGAATGTAGCACAGAGAAAGCACTTCATAAATGTTTGCTGCTGAATGGATTTAGCATGAAGTTCAGTCTCACCATTTGCACTGGGGGAATATACCTTACCCAGACATTATGCTTTTGCAAATACATATTCTTTTTTTTTTTTTTTAGGCAATTGGGGTTAACTGACTTGCCCAAGGTCACACAGTTAGTAAGTGTCAAGTGTTTGGTCTGAGACCAGATTTGAACTCAGGTCCTCCTGACTTCAGAGCCAGTGCTCTATCCACTGCACCACCTAGCTGTCCCTAAATCCATACTCTTAATTGAACAAACTATTGGAAAAATAAGAGCTAAAAAATTATGGCACTTTCTAAATAAGAGTACCAAGAAAATATATATTTCTCAATGCTATATGGCACATTTATAAAAATTGATCTTGTGTTAAAGCAAAGAGAAGTTGAAAATAAATATAAAAAGGCAGAAATCAATGCAGGGAGCATAAATAAAATGTATAGACCTAAATGGAGACTTAATAATTAAGTCCTAAATAATGAATGGATCAATGAATAAACTAAAGGAATAATTAATAATTATGTGAGAGACAATAAGCATGATGAGACAACTTGCCAACACTTCTGAAATACAGTTAAAACAATTCTCTGATAAAAATTATATTCCTAGAAGCATACTTTTAAGAAAGTAGATAAAGAATTAATAAGCTGAATATGCATTTAGAAAATTAGAAACCTAATAAATATACAAGCCCAAAAAGGAAATTTTGAACATTACAGAAAGATAAATTGTAAGCAAAAAAAGACTATAGAAGTAGTAAACAAGACTGAAAAATTTAAAAGATTAATAAAAATGATAAACTTTTAGCCAAACTGATTAAAATGAGGGAAAATCAAATCAAATCAACAAAATTAAAATTAACAAGATGAAATCACAACAAAACCAGAAGAAGTAAAAATAGTCACCAGAACCTGTTATGTGCAGTAATATGCCAGCAAAATTGAGAACACAAAACAAGTAGAAAAGTATCTTCAAAAATGTAAAATGTCCAAACTAACAAGAGCATCAAATAGAAATCAAATAATCCATTTTCAGAAAAAGAAAAAATAGCTATAAGGAATTTCCAAATAAAAAAAAAATAACTCCTAGTGTCGATGAATTTACAGGACACTATTATCAAACTTTTTTTCTTTTTTTTTTTTTGTGGCTAGGCAACGGGGTTAAGTGACTTGCCCAGGGTCACACAGCTAGTAAGTGGTATGTGTCTGAGGCCAGATTTGAACTCAGGTCCTCCTGAATCCAGGGCCTGTGTTCTATCCACTGTGCCACTTAGCTGCCCCATACCTCTGTTTTAGAAGACAGAGGAGGTAAACATCTACTTTATTTGTTGCTATACTTATAACATGTATATATATGTATGCATACATACCTATATATGCTTATTGTTAACTTTGTATCTTCAATGCTCAACACAGTGAATGTCACATAGAAGGTATTTAATAAATGCTTGTTTAATTGAATTCAAAGTATCTTAGGCCACATTATACCATAGAAAATATTCACTTGGTGTTAAAATGAATTCTCTTAAATGGTCAAAAGATATGAACGAGCAGTTTTCAGATAAAGATTTTAAAGCTATCTATAGTCATATGAAAAAAATGCCCTAAATCACTATTGATTAGAGAAATGCAAATCAAAGCAACTCTGAGGTACCACGTCACACCTATCAGATTGGCCAACATGACAAAACAGGACAATGATATATGTCGGAGAAGATGTGGGAAAATTGGAACATGAATGTACTGTTGGTGGAGTTGTAAAATGATCCAGCCATTCTGAAGAGCAATTTGGAAGTATGCCCAAAGGGCTATAAAAATGTGCATACCCTTTGACCCAGCAATAGCACTTCTAGGGCTGTCTCCCAAAAAGATCTTAAAAATGGGAAAAGGACCCACATGTTAAAAAAATATTTATAGCAGCTCTTTTTGTGATGGCAAAGAACTGGGGATTGAGGGGATGCCCATCAATTGGAGAATGGCTGAACAAGTTGTAGTATATGAATGTAATGGCATACGATTGTGCTATAAGAAATGATGAGCAGGCAGACTTCAGAAAAACCTGGAAAGACTTATATGGGATGACGCTGAGTGAAGTGAGCAGAACCAGGAGAACACTGTACACAGTAACAGCCACATTGTGCAATAACTAACTTTGAAAGACTTAGCTCTTCTCAACAATGCAAAGATTTAAAACATCTTCAAAAGTGTCATGATAGAAAATGCTATCCACATCTAAAGAAAGAACTATGGAGTTTGAATGAAAATCAAAGCATACTATTTGCTCTTTTTTTTCCTTCTGTTTTGTTTTGTTTCCTCTTTCTTGTAGTTCGTCCTATTGGTTCTAATTCTTCCTTACAACATGACTAATGTGAAAATATGCTTAATAGGAATATATATGTAGAGCCTATATCAGATTGCATGCCATCTTGGGGAGGGAGAGAGGTAAGAAGGGGGAGAAAAATTTAAAACTCAAAAGCTTATGGAAGTGATTGTTGAAAACTAAAAATAAGTTAATTAATAAAAATTTAAGTTAATTTAAAACATTAATTCTTTTATAAACTTTGCTAGGGTCAGTAATTATTTTTTGGTGGTGCATATAATTGCTAGGATCACCAGGAATCCTGAATTTCACCACCTGAAGCTCAAAGTCACTCAGGTCAGCATGAGAGATGTGTGCATAACCCGACCTAGAGTAGAAAGAAGCATAAATATTTTAGAGATCTACTAAATATTTTGCCAGATTACAAATAACTGGCATCTAATTTTGATCAACACTGTCTATGTTATTGTTTCATGTTTCTAATTCTTCAATCACTGAATATCTCAACCACAACTGGTCTAATTTATCACTTGTGGTATTTATCAAAATATTCTCTTTTGTGATAAAGATGAATAAGTACCATGCACACAGATTTAATAAACTAATATATCTGGCAGGCCTCCTTTCCTTATTTATTTTAATTCATTTTTAGTACTGTAATTATATGTAGCATAGACAAATTACCTCCCACACAATTATATTTCTGGTACAAAACAGGAATTCTTCAGATTCACAACACTGAGTAAAATTCAGTGCCCTTAGAACTCTTGAAGACTATATGTTGCAGAGCAGGAACTGATTTACATTTGTAGAGGTAGTTTCCTTCCCATGGAACTCAATATATCAATTAAATCACAGGTCCAGTTAAAAAAATGGAAATATAAATCTCATGTATATATTTTCAACTCTATATCAAAGGTTTTAGATGTTTGAAAAGTCCAATGTTGTATTTTCCCCTCCAAATATCATCCTCTTACCATGAAATTGGTTGATTTATTTAATTTTTTTCTGTGGTATAAGGCACTACAGAATAGATAGTCTTGAAAGGATCTGCTTCCTCAAAGGCTCCAATCATTTGAATCTCTGTAACACTATCTTTAGAAGGGGAATGATATTTTTGGGTGACCACAGCTAAAAACTGTCCACATGCTAATAAACAGAAGTGAGTTGGTCCAAAAGGGTATTAATGGCACCCAATGCCATTGTAGTAGACATAGAATCATATCTGGTTTTTGCTAGTACTTCAGCAGAGTGAATTTTCTAAGTTCCTTCCAAGTCTAAATCCTACGATCCTCTTTGTAAGTAAAAACCAAAGCACATCTGAAAAGAATTATGTCTTAATAAAGAGTTTAATACATAAGAAGACAACTGAGTGAGAAATTATGATAATCTTTGTCTGTTGGATACATCCATTACTGAAGTTTAGTTGTTCAGCTCATGAAGCCATAATCGTTCTTCAGCTGATATACATGCATACTCTATTCACAGGCAAAGTAAATAATCAGCCTCTTCAGTTCTGAGGTGAAAACTGTAAACTATAAAATGGTGACAAAAACATCAAAGTCATGCATTGGAAAATAACAATGAGAAGCCAAAAAAAAATCTGGAATTCTTTTTTTGCATTCCTAGTCAAATGAAGAAAGTAGACATACGGCTATTAAATAAATGCTTTCTTTTTTTAAAAAAAAGATTCATTTATGTAGCAAAATTTAAAGAGATAAAAACCTAGTTATAACTTGGTAGCTTTTCCACTAGTCCTTAACTATTAATTAGTTGTTATTCGGATCCTCCTCTTGTGAAGTGACATAATTAGAATATTCCTATGTAATTCACCCTGCACATTTTTTAAGCAGAAAAAAGCATTTTATTTATATAAAAAAGTTCCATAAGATCTATAAAAGATTAATGAGAATATTATGTTGTCTGCACCAAAAAAAATTTAATAGCAACCAAATTAAAAGTTACATAACTTCCTACTTAGTAGTACAATTAGTTCATGTTATAATAAAATTAAGTCAAGTATACGACAAAATCAAAACAAGTAGTTTCTCCATTATGGCATACCAGGAATTACAGACAAAAAATCATTTTAGGTTTTAAGAAATCTGCCTCCAGTCTACTGAATAATCTAAGTAAGAGATGGAGGGAGTTTATCCATTTCATTACTAGCAGCTGTATTTTGTCAACACTATACGCTGGGAGTAAATCAACTAATGAGTTGATTTACCTGATAATACATTTATTCCATTCAGCAGAAAAATACAAATTATAAATGTAACAAGGTTTTGACACATGTCTAGACCACCTAATATATGGTAAGGTACCAAAGCCCTCATTAGGTAAAGTGAGCTAATAAAAAATGAAATCTGAACACAGATTTATGAAACTGATAACTTAAGAAAAATGCACATTTAGTATCTCATTTAAAAAATCTAGTCTCAGCAAAAAAACCAAAATTGGTTGCTTTACAATTGCACCTTAGGCTAGAGATGCAGATGTCCAAATATCTTTAAAAACCATAATGTACATCTTGTACAAAGTATACAAAAAGATAAATACTCTCATCCCAATCCTAAGCTTATTTTTGGAAGATTGTGTTTTCTTACTCCAGGGACTTAAAATAGGTAAAATTCAAATGGCTTCAGGAGACACTGACACAGTAAATAGCATTCTACTTACTTCTAATATTGCAACAACCTAGAATTTATATTTGCTGTATGTGAAAAAAATCTTCAAATTTACACTGCATATTTCTGAGTCCATTCTCTTAAATGTCTGTTGTATTTTTCCTTGCCTGAGTTACAGATTGGTGCAATATCTGGTACTATCGGATCATCTGGATTGGGATCACAAAGTAGAGAACATATGGATAAATCCCCAGAGCCAGTCTAGGGTTTATATGAACTTTTGATGATAAGCTGTTTTAAAGCTTCAAAACCAATCAGCCAGTCAATAGACATTTATTGAACACCTACTATGTGCTGGGCACTGTGCTTATACTCTAACGAGAGAGACTATATGAAAACAGCTATGTGCAAACAAGATATATAGGATAAATTGGAGATAATTAACAGAGAGAATTCAAAGAGAAGTTGTCAAAGGTTATAAATGAGCAGGTTTTTTTGTTTGTTTAGATGAGGACCAAATAATCTTTTTAAAAAAGACTGTCTTTTGCCTTTCTTTGTATCCCCAGGGCTTAGCACAGTGCCTGGCATAAAGTTGGTGTTCAATAAATGTCTATTGACTGACTGATTGGTCGTGAAGCTTTAAACTACCTTATCATCAAAAGTTCATGCAAACCTTAGATTTATAAGCTTGGTAGTAGGAGGGACTTTAAAGATCATTTGTTCCTCATCTAAACAAACAAAAAACCTGCACATTTATAACCTTTGACAACTTCTCTTTGAGGATTAATTCTTCCCTATTACAGAGATGAATTCCACAGTTAGCTTTGAAACTGAATTAGTGAGTTCAGGATTGAGGGAAACACAATTCTAAAAGTCTGTTGCAAGCCAGATTGGAACCAATGATGGATTATGAGGTGTCCCTACAAGCAAAGGAATTCCTCATTACGTCATAACTGTATATACTCAAATGTCATTCTTACAAGTCAACCAATTTTTTCAAAATCATAGATCTTGGAAATGGAAGGACCATTAAAATATGATTTAGTACTGCCCTCAACTAGAAGGTACACTGAATAGAATGGGTGGGCCTGGAGTCAAGATGACCTGAGTTTAAATCTAGTCTCAGATAGTGCCTCGCTGTGTCATCTTGGGCAAATCACTTAACCTCTATCTACCTCAGTTTCCTCAACTACAAAATGGGGATCATAATAGCACCTACCTCCCAGGGTTGTGGGGAACAATGAGATGATATTTCCAAAATGCTTAGCATAGTACCTAGCATATAGTAGTCATTAAATAAATATTTGTTCCTTCTACTCTTCTCACTATCAGTTATTATTATTTCCTATTATCCATGCAAAGCAACTATGGCCTTAATAGTGACAATCATTTGCTCAAGGTCATGGTTCCCAAGTTTGGAAGGGAGAAGGGAAGATCCAGGTCACATAAACCCAAACAAGCCTTCTTGTTATGGGCAGAAGCATGATATGATAGAAAGAAAGGTGGAATTCTAGTTATAAGGCTTGGATTTTAATCCCAGATCTGCTGCTTTCTACCTGTGTGACTTTTGGTAACTGATTTCACCTCTATGGGCCTTGATTTCATCATAAATAAAATGAGGATTGTACTAGAGGATTTCTAAGGTCCCTGTAATCACACAGAATCTCATGATTCTGTGATCCTATGATATACAGGAAGGCCCTGCAGACTACAGAGAGCTCTCCCTCCAGGAGGAAAACCCATTAAGGCAATGCCACTTGGCTCAGTAGCTCAATCCCATTCTTGGCATCCTCATTGCCCTTAAATAAATCATGATGTGCATGAAAAATCTTAGCATCACCTGCCAGATTGATGCTTTCTAAAGTCAGAAAAATGAAGGAAGGGATTCAACAAAGCCCTTCTTTCTAGGGGAGACGAGAGGGCTTATTTACATCTCAAAAGGTTATGGTGGGAATAGATTGAAAACCGTTCCCACTTCTGTACTCACCTTATTAGCCCACAATATATGATCCACTCATACCATCTGTCAGTATCTGTGCTGTCAATGTCCTAATCAACAGCAGGTGGCCAGGTTCAGGGAGGGGGGAGGAAAGAGAGATGGGAAAAATGGTTTTATCTTAAGCAAAAGAAAGGAAAAATGTCTAAGGTCCTAAGTTAGCAGTGAACTGCTTGAATAAGAACAAAGTCATAAATATTCACACTTCAAGGACAATATTAAGCCTTTGCTAAATTTGGAAAGCCTGAGACCAGGGTTATGTCTCACTGGGGAAGCAAAAGAAAAGCATATTTTCTTCATAGGGTCTTAGGGAAACCCTGAAAGCATGGTTATTCTAATCAACATCTTTTTCAAAAATATTGTTTCTATAAACATAAATGTGCCTGACTTTAGCTTGTCCATGAAGACCATGGCTGAATTGGGTTCTAAAATATTTTTACTAAAAAGGCTCTCCTATTGAAACTCAAAACTAGAAATACTTTTTAAACATCATTTATAAAAATTCTCAGTGCTCCTATTTGTATTGAAAGGCAGTTTTCAAAACATTAATAATTTGCTTGTCTATATTAGGTATAATAAACCTAATGATCATAACTGCATTGTCCCATTTTATTAGGCTTTAAGAGATACTGTTAAATTTTAAGATCTTAGAACTTAAACCCTTGTCTCATAAAAAGATAATCATCATATAAACCTGTTCACTGAGGTTTTATTTTTATGACCAAAATTCTTCTCTGCATCACTCAGTTTCTTAACAAAAAAAAAACAATGGGGTAAGGAGTTGTCAGTTCTAAAGATCTGAGCTTCAGATGGTCATGGTAGGGGTCAACGGAAGGAGTAAATATAAATCAAGTTCTTTTAGATAACCCATCCCTCCTTCTCTCTTCCACACATTCACGCAAGCACAGCACACTTGAACCAACCAATGGACTAGTTTCTACACAATGCCATCCCCATTATTCCTGATGCATTTGTCCTTTGGGTCTGCCAAATGTCTTTTCTTCCTTTTGTCTCCTGTCCCTTTAGGCTTTACCTTATATGCTCAATGTGTCTTCTGTGCATTGTGAGTCTGAGAAATGAATGAAAGGATCACAAAAATGTAATATTAATTTTCTTAAAGTAAGGCTAGCCCCAAGTCAATGAAGAGTCAATAGAATCACAGAAATAGAAGAGAACTTTAGAGTTCACCTAATTTAGTTTTTGTTCATTTGTGTGGGTTTTTTTCTTCTTTTGGAGAATTAAAAAATTCAACTCATATGCTTTTTAAGTTAAGAATTTTTCCTCTCCTTTGCCATCTGCATCCATTGGTAATTCCTATGATTCTTTCCTTTTTCAATCATCTTTTTGTTTTCTGCATTTCTCTCACCCCACCCCCAACCCCTAATCTAGAACCTTATGATCTGATGCCTGGAGGTCACTTCTCCTCTCTGGACTTTAATTTCCACACCAAGAAATTAGTAGGTTAGACTGGACAATCTCCAAGGTCCCTTTGTATCTGATATTCTGTGACTATCTTCAGAGCTCCCAGTGTGGTCTGTTTCCTCTTTGTCTCTGTCTCCAGTCTAGAGTTCAGAACTAATCTCCCCCAAATGCCATTTTCATTTTGTCACAATTCTTCCCTGTTATTTAAAAGATAAACCTCTTAGCCTGACATTCAAGGCCCTTCCCAATTTGCCTAACCTATTTTTCCAATTCTAACTCTATCACCCACTACTTCCCTACTAAAACTCTCTGCTTCAGTCAGACTGGTCTACTTACTATTGCCTAAATATAACCTGTGTACTCCTACCTCCCTGCTTCCCCCATCTTGTCTTTCCTATTACTATCAAGGTTAGCACTATTCTTCCAGTCATGCAGGCTCAAAACTTAGGTGTCATCCTCAATTCCTCACACTCACTCACCCCTCATATCCAAGAGATGTCAAGTACTGTCAATTTTACCTTTATAACATGTCTTGCATACAACCAGTTCTCTCCCTGGATGCTGTCACCACTCTGGTGCAGGCTATCATCTCATGCTTAGACTTTTTACAATAGCCTGCTGGTTGGTCTCCCTACCTCATCTCTCTCCACTCCACTCCATCCTCCACTCAACTGTCAAAATGATATTTCTAAAGTGCAGTCTATCAGCTCTCTATTCAATAAATTCCACTGTTTCCATATTACCTCCAAGAGTAAATATAAAATCCACTGCTTGGCTTTTATAGTCTTTAAAAACCTGGCTCCTTTCTACCTTTCCAGTCTTCTATCTTACTCCCCTCTGAAATCCAATTACACAGTTCTCCTTGGCTTTGCTTGCACTATGCACGCCAGTACCTTACTCTCACCATTTTCACTGGCTGTCCTCCATACCTGGAATTCTCCCCCTCCTCATCTCTGCCTTTTCACTTCCCTGACTGTTTTTAAGTCTCAAGTCCTATCTTCTGCAAGAAGCCTTTTCCAGTCCTTTTTAATCTCAGTGCCTTCCCTCTGGGATCATCTCCAATTCATCCCCATTAGATTGTGAGCTCCTTGAGGGCAGGAATTGATTTTTGCCTTTCTTTGCATCCCCAGTGCTTAGCACAGTGCCTGGCACATAGCAGGTACTTGATAAATGCCAAGTGGCTGAATGGCTACCTAGATCACTCTTCTTGTCCAGAATGTCTTTTTCTCTGCCTATCCTACTATCCATTTAATTATAATAGTAGAATTTTTTTTTAAGTTTTAGAGCTTTCAAACAACAAATAACAACTTTATCTGGTAGGTAGTAATATCATCCCCATTTTCAGAAAAGGAAATGGAGGCCCTAAATTAAACTTAAACTCCATTATCACACAACTCACAAGTATAAGAGAAGGAACTCAAACCCAGGTCATCTGACTCCAAATCCTTTGCAGGGTACGTGGGTGTTAAGAGATCTGGGCATACACAAAAGAAGTTCCCATTACATTAGTTACCTTTCTTTGTGTTTTAAGTGTTCTCTCCCCAGCCAAATAGTAAATACTTGGGGAGCAAGGACACTGTGGGCCTCTTTGGATCCCTTCAGTATCTGGTACTATATTCACAGCAGCAGTATATACATTTGTTCATTGATGGAGCAATCAGTCAAAGTATTAACAAGTATTAACAAAGTATTATTAAGCATCTACTATTGCCAGGCAACCAGTTAAGCATTGGTTATGGGTATTACATCTTAGTATTTTCCCTACAGGCCCAATGAGTCAAGGGCCAGAAGTAGACTGTGAGATATAGCTTTCCCAGATCCTATTTAAAGAGCTACTATTAATTATCCCTGTAGGAGTATGTGTGTGTGTACATGTATGTTTGTGTTGTGTGTGTGTGTGTGTGTGTGTGTGTGTGTGTTTGCTTTTGAGGAGAAGAACAGGAGAGGCCTGGAAATAGACATGCCTCATATGGCTCCAATAAGTTATATTATTAAACTTTTGCAAAAGCTGAAACAGGAGGTCCTTATTTTGCTGTCTTTCCCAAAGCAGTGTAAATTAATGGTATTAATATATGGATGTTTCGTGTTTTCCTACTGCTTTGTTTTTTTATACAAGATTGAGATAAGGAGACAGATGGAGTATTGTTTGGAGTTTTTGTTGCTATCTTAAGGAAATCTGGGTATGTACAAAGGTGACGGTGGACAGAGCACTGGAACTAGAGGCAAAGAGACTTGAATTCAAATCGTGCCCTAGACACTTATCAGCTGTGTAACCCTAGCAAGTCCCTTAACCTTTCAAAACCTGTTTGCTTATCTGTAAAATGGGGATAATGATACCACCTAACTCAGAGGGTTGTTGTGAAGACTAAACAAGATTGCATATTTAAAGCACTATTTCACTTGCACTCCCTCTTGCTTTTGCAAGAGACCTTCTCTAGAGAAGAAAAAAATACAAGTACTCTCTGGGAATGAGGTGCCTAGGCTACCATAACCATGACCTTCTCAAGAATGTGCCAACAGCGGCTTTTCATGTCAGCCACTATACTGCCCTCTGTTGGTCCATTGGAGGAAAGCCAAGACTTAGAGAAGGCCATTCCTTTGGCCTGAAGCAGCTCTCAGGGTGCAGAGACAAGATGAATGGGGAAATTACACGAGTAAATAATAAGAATAGCTAGCATTTAAGGAGCACCTTAAAGTTCACAAAGTGCTTTAACTATGTAATCTGATTAGCCAGAGAGAAGGAACCACTTGTGTTGTCAATTCCAATTTTATCTCTGTGAGTTCATTAGCTTCGACTGTCTTCCTTTCTTTCCATTTTTTTTAAGCAGTGAAAGGGATAGAAAAGAATATGTGACTATATATTGAATACAAACATATGGAATTGAGAATCATGGGTTAAAATGCCTATATCAAGGTCATTATGTGGTATAAAAAGAGTAGGATTATTTATAGGACTGGGTCCTATGTCAGTTTGTGTTAGAAAGAATCCTGAATTCAAATCTAAACTGATAGCACATTTTTAACATGGAAAAGAAACTTTCCACTTAATAAATCACAGGGAGTGCTACTTGCACATTGCCATGCTGAATGTGGATAGCCTCTGGAGCCAGGGGCCAGTGAAGTGATATAGCCCCAAATAACTAGACTTCAGCAAACTTGAAATAGCAAGTGCCTGGGGCTTGCTGTCCAAGTCATTCCTGAAAAATGCAGAGAGCAGAGGTGAGGGGCGGGAAGAGGGAGAAAGAGAGAGAGACAGAGAGAAACAGAGAGAGAGAAATGTTTGTCACCTCACAAATTCAATCAGTTACCTAATCTTATCATTTCTGTATCTACAACTTCTCTCCTCACATCTGTCTCCTTGTCTCCACTCACAGGACCACCACCCTAGATCAGACCCTCATCACCTCTCATCTGTACCACTGCAATGGTCTCTTAAACTGTCTGCCTCAAGTCTCTCTCTCTCTCTCTCTCTCTCTCTCTCTCTCTCTCTCTCTCTCTCTCTCTCTCTCTCTCTCTCTCCAATATGGCTTTCATTAAGTATCTGAGTAATTTTTCTATAGTGTAGATTGAACTCCAAAGGCTTCCAATCGTCTCTAGAGTCAAATATAAGCACTAGTATTTAGCTTTTAAATCCTACCCAACTTGGCCCCAATTTACCTTCTCAATGGTATGATATATGACTCCCCTCTATGATTCAGCCAAACTGCTTTTTTTTTCTGTTTGTCACACTCAACATGTCTGAGCTCACTCTCCCAAAGAACTAAGCTATTATAAGAGAGATATTGCCCCAGGTATTGGGGAAAATATTTGTAACTTCTATTCTTGCTACATCTGTCTGGTAAATAGCCTTTCGTAAAAGCTAATTGATGTTAGTTGGTTAAATGGAACTGGGAAGTTAATTACTCATAGGTAACAGTGAGGGAAATGCACCAGAACTGGGCTTGATCCAATAGTATTAAAGACATCCCACGGCCTCTAGAATCCCCAAAGGTGATATGGCAGGCCTCATCCTAGGAGAGTGAGTCTGGAGACCAAAACACTGAAAAATAACCTTTTGATAGCTTTCTATATTTTTATTACAGATAAACTTGAAATAGTAAAGTAATTCAAAAAGCATGCTCAGATGTATCTTTTATATACAATGATGATGAACTGCTGATCTAAATTAATTAGGTAATATAAAACCAACTGCTATAATGATGTTTAGTAAAATTATTTGCCTAAAAAAATTACAATTTCCTATTCTATATTAAGTAATCCTTTGTGCAAAAGGGCTACAATTAAGCTCTTGTTGAAGCAGCTAATGTAGAATTTCATTATTCATTCCTAATGTGATTTTATATTTGTATGTAACAGTGGCCTAAAGATGAAATCTTTAAATATTTATACAGAACAAAGACCTTTATCAAGTGTGGCCACAAAGAAACAAAAACATGTCATTACAAAGTATTTATATAAAAACAATCCTGCACAACCCCCCCTCCCCCTCCCAATACCTGCTCAGCCTGGAAAAGTTAATGTCTTCCTAAGCACTTAACTTGCTACATTATCTATGCACTAACTTGGACAGACTACTTACAGGCAGATTTTATAGATTTTGCTATTTCTGAGTTATCTAATGAAAATTTTTGCTTCCCTTCTTTCTCTTCTACTCCAGTATATGATTTCTGCAGCCAAGATCCCAAGTTAGCAGAACCAGGAAAGAAGGTAGTCTCCTGTTTGTTTGAAAAAACAAATAAACTCTGAAGTTTCCTCCCCACTCCCAAATCAACACAGAAATACTCCCATAACCCACATGTACAAAAATATGTATAGCAGCTCTTTTTGTGGTGGCAAAGAATTGGAAATTGAGGGGATTCCCATCAGTTGGGGAATGGCTGAACAAGTTGTGGTATATGATTGTGATGGAATACTACTGTGCTATAAGAAATGATAAGCAGGCAGACTTCAGAAAAATCTGGAAAGACATATATGAACAGATGCTGAGTGAAGTGAGCAGAACCAGGAGACTATTGTACACAGTAACAGCTACATTGTGCGATGGCCAATTTTGATAAACTTATCTCTTCTTAGCAATGCAAGGATATAAGACAACTCCAAAAGACTCATGATGGAAAATGCTGTCCACATCCAGAAAAAGAACTATGGAGTCTGAATGCAGATTGAAGCATGTTATTTGTTCTCTCTTTCCCCCCCCCCTTTTTTTGTTTCTTTCTTCTTTCCCATGGTTCTAGTTCTTTTTTTGTTGTTGTTGTTGCTTTTTGGTGAGGCGATCGGGGTTAAATGACTTGCTCAGGGTCACACAGCTAGTAAGTGTTAAGTATCTGATGCTGGATTTGAACTCAAGTCCTCCTGACTCTAAGACCAGAGCTCTATTCACTGTGCCACCTAGCTGCCCCTTCTAGTTCTTTTTTACAATGAGTGCCATGAAAATAGTTTTATTATGAACATATATGTAGAACCTATATCAACTTACACACCATCTTGGGGTAGAGAGAGGGGAGAGATGGGGAGAAAATTCGGGACTTAAAATCTTAGGGAAGTGAATGTTGAAAACTAAAAATAAACAAATTAATTTTAAAAATTACTCCATACTAGATAACCTTATACTGGGTTTTAGATGTCATTGGATGTGATTAATAAGATGCCAAAGGAGATAAGATAGATGATTTCCCCTGTAACATGATTTTAAAATGCATCCCACTGGATAATTGTCTTGTGACTAGCAATAAATTTCATGTGTTAAATACTTGGAAAAAAAGAAATGCTTCCATAATCACAATGTCAAAGGAGGATGAGGATCCTTTTTTCCCCTCTTCTACAAGTCAAAGCTCCCCAGGAGCTTACCAAAGAATGGAGGTAGAATAAGGGAACAAAACAAAGAAAAGAGGATGAAAAAAGAGAGACAGCTTAAAGAGATTCTCCTCAAAACCTTAACGATGAAAAATTGTTAGTGAAGCCTTAAAATACTCATATAGTATTTTTTTGTTATTGTTATGTTGTTGTTGTTGTTGTTTAAACTAATTGGGGGGGATTAAATTAATTTAATTTTTTTTGTTATATTTTAAGTTCTAAACTGTCTCCCTCCCTCCTTCCCCACCGTGCATTAGAGAAGGCCACTGTTGGACACAGATTTATAAATATATATAAATCCACACTATGTGTACTTCTATTTGCCAGTTCTTTCTCTGGAGGAGGATAGCATCTTTCTTCATAGGTCCTTTATAGTTGATTTGAATATTTATAGTACTCAGAATAACTTGGCTATTCACAATTATTCTTCAAACAATCTTGTTGTTACTGTATATAATATTCTCCTGGTTCTGCTCACTTCACTTTTCATTACTTCATGCAAGTCTTTCCATGTTTTGCTAAAATCAACCAGCTCATCATTTCTTACAACACAGTAGTATTCTAACACAGTCACATACCACAACTTGTTTAGCCATTCCCCAATTGATGGACATCCCTTAAATCTCCAGTTTTTTGCCAGCACAAAGACAGCTGTTATAAATATTTTATAACATATAGGTTCTTTTCCTTTTTCCTTGGGAAACAAACCTAATAGTGGTATTGCTGGTTCAGAGGGTATACACAATTTTATAACTCTTTGGGTATAATTCCAGATTAGTCTCCAAAATGGTTGAATCAGTTCACACTTCACAGTTCAACAGTGTATTAATGTTCCAATTTTTCCGCATCCCCTCTAACATTTGTCATTTTCCCCTTCTATCATTTTAGCCAATCTGATAAGTATGAGGTAATATCTCAAAAGTGTTTTAATTTTCGTTTCTCAAGTTAACAATGATTTACAGCATTTTTTTATATGACTATATGTAGTTTTGATTTCTTCATTGAAAAACAACCTGTTCATATCCTTTGACCATTCATCAATTGAGAAATGACTCATATTCTTATAAATTTGACAATGTTCTCTATATATCTGAAATATGAGACCTTTATCTGAGAAACTTTCTATAAAAATCTCCCCCAATTTTCTGCTGTCCTTCTAATCTTGGGTACGTTGGTTTTATTTATATAAAACCTTTTAAACTTAATGTAATTAAAACTATTCATTTTTATATCTCACTGTGCTATCTTTTATTTATTCATAATTCTCCCATCCATAAGTCTGATAGGTAATATGGTCCATGTTCTTCTAGTTTTCTTATGATATCTCCCCTTATATTTAGGTCATGTATCCATTTTGACCTTATCTTGATAAATGGTGTAAGATATTGATCTATACCCAGTTTCTATCAGACTGCTTTCCAGTTTTCCCAACAATTTTTGCCAAAAAGTATATTCTTACCCCCAAAACTTAAATCTTTACATTTGTCAAACACAAGGTTACTGTAATAATTTACTACTGTGTATTATATGTCTACTCTGTTCCACTGATCTACCTTTCTTTTTCTTAACCAGTACCAATAATTATAGCTTTATAAAATAATTTAAGATCTGGTACTGCTAAACTTCCTTCTTTCACATTTTTTCATTAGTTCCTTTGATATTTTTGTTTTCTATCCTTTCAAATTAATTTTACTATTATTTTTTCTAGCTCAATAAAATAATTTCTAGTAGTTTAATTGGAATGGCATTAACTAAATAAATTGGGAAGAACTGTCATTTTTATTATATTGGTTGTGCCTTCCCATGAACAATTAATATTTCTCCAATTATTTAAATCTGACTTGATTCGTATAAAAAGTATTTTAATAACAATTAAATTTTACTATCCTTTATTGTTTTATGGGTGAGTTCATCCCATTCACATTTAAAATTATAATTATTAATTGTGCATTTTTTTGCTACTGTTTATCCTTCTCTTCCCCTCTTCTTAACCTACCCATCCTCAAAGTTCTAACTGACTTCTAACCATTGCCTCCTTAATCTGCACCCGTTCTAAGAATCCCTCCCTTATCCTCTCCTTTTACCCTCCTATTTCTTGATCTGCACACCCTTCTAAAAGTCTCTCCCTTACCCTATCCCCTCAACCTCTTAATTCTCTATAAGTTAAGACTTTTATACCTTTCCCACTGACTTTCTGAGTTGTCTTTAGTGTTTGTGGGTTGAGAGGTCTGGAAACCACCACAGCTGCCCGTGATTCAGTCCCTGACGCCTGCCCCAGGTTTGCTGGTCCCCATCTTTGCCTCACGGCCCATGCTAAACTGTGCTCCTCTCCAAGCCTGGTGCA